AGAAGAGAAGCTACAGACTGATAAAGTAGTTGTGTTAGCAATTAGGCAGTGTAATAGACTGGATACTATTTGTATAGGAATTAAAAAGAATATGGATAAGATAGAAGAGTCAAGAATGGTCTCTTTACATTTATGTCCCAGAGAATGATATGAATGAATTTCTACAAGTAGCAAACACTTTGAGTTAAGTAATCAGAAAATACAAGGAGAACGGTGATGGAAAATATGTTATCTTTGGATCAGACAAAAACAAAACAAAAAGAAGTTTTCTCTACACTGAGACAGGGATAGAAAACACAGAGCAGGCATAATTAGTGGATACCTCCAAAAGTTCAAAGAAGTGTTTGAAATTATCCTGGGAAGGTACAGGAGATGGACAACAGCTATTTTACTTGTGGAAATGGAGTCCAGACCATATTGAATCAAACTGGAAATGTGCAATGGTTATTGTACTAAGGAAGAATGCCTCCTCACCCCCATCCAGAAAGGACACCTGCTTAAATATTAATTTTCCCTACAGTGAGACAAACTGATGACTCAAAACAGAATATATTATTGTACATTAAATTAAAAGGTTTCAACAAGCTATATGATAAGCCAACAAGCTATATGATAAGCTAAGGAGGAACTTGACAGTAGGGCTATGTCTACACTTCAAGCTGGGAGTGTGATCCCTCACTCAAAGAGACATACTTTTGCTAGATCTCATCAAGCTAGCATATGAAAAACAGAATGTAGCTCTGGCAGTGTGTGGCAGGAGGGACTAGCCACCCTGGGTAGGTGCCTACAGTCTCAGATAAGCACATACTTGGGGCAGCTTCGCCATGGCAGTATGAGCTGCAAAACAGGCTATCTTGATTTTTAGCATACTTTTAGTAAGTCTCCTCTGATGTATTGACAGAGAGCGATCATATCTTCCCTCAGCCTTCATTTGGTTAAGTTAAACAAGCCATGAGTCTCCTCTTCTAAGGTAGGTTTTCCATTCCTCTAATCATCCTACTAGTCTTTCTATGCACCAATTCTGCACCAAATGTGGCCCAGGAGCCCCCCATCCCCTGTCCCCATGTGCCCCTGGAGCCCCCCTACCTGCTGTCCTCAACATGGCCCTGCCCCCCTCTGCCCTCATCCCCTTGTGGTCCTGGAGCACCCCTCCCATTCAGCCCATGGCTCGATGCTGTCAACCCATTAGCTCCTAACCTGCTCCCCAGTCTGTCCCCTGCACTAGCCCTTCTGAATCCCAGTCTGTGACCCCGCAGCAGCCCCGTGTGCCCCATTCTGCCTCCTTGGGCAGGCTGCTGTGATGAGCGCAGCTGGCTGCTAGCTGTTACTGCCAGTCAGCTGGCTGTTCTGGTGCCACAGCAGCCTCTGCTGGGTGAAAAGTGGAACTGCAGCACTTCTTGGGCAGAATGTATTTTCTGCAGAAAAAAAAATTCTGCGCTGGACATGAATTCTGCATGTGCGCAGAGGGGCAGAATTCCCTCAGAAGCAGAAGATGCTTCAGATTCAGGCAGGTATTTATTGTGATCTGAGAAAGACGTATTTGATTTCTGAGATGAAAGCAAAAATGGTCTTCAGAACTACTTTATCATGATGGAAAATGAAGTATTTACTCCTGGGGGAATTCTGCACCCTTGCGGATGCGCAGAATTCATGTCCCCTACAGATTTCTTTGCTTCTCCACCAACAAATTACTTTCTGATGGGGAAGCAAGAAGAGCAGTCATGCAACTCTTCCCAGCAGTATGTTTTGGGTGCCCAGGGCAGCTGGCAGAGAGGTAAATCACTGTAGGGCAGGAGGCAGGACTGGGGAAGACCTGGCTCATAGCTCTTACCCCGTGCCATGCTCAGCTGCTAGTCCCGGCTGGGCTGCGGAGGACGGGACTTCCTCTTCCCCTGCACGACATCCAGAGCCAGGTCAGACCCACCCTCAGATTTCACCCCAGGCTGCAGGAAGCTCTGCAAACTCCCCCCCTTCCGCTTCCTGCACTCATCACTCTTCAGCTGCAGGGAGAGGGATCACTGTACTGGGAGCTGCTCCCCCATCCACCTAACCCCCGTGCATCCAGACCCTGCCACCAAGCTTCATCCCCCCCGCACCCAGAATCCCCTTTGCCAAACCCCACTTCCCCTGCACCTGGACCACCCCAACGAGCCACCTGCACCAGATCCCCACCCCACCGAGCCCCAACCAGCTGTACCTGGATCCCCACCTCACTGAGTCCCACTTCCCTAGCATCTGGGCCCCCCGCACTGGACACCCTAAACCCAGATCCCCCTGTGGAGCTCTATCCCCCCCACACCAAGACCCCCCCGGTGAGCTCCAACCACCTTCACCTAGACCCCCCCCCCAGAGTCCCATTAGCATTGCACCCAGAACCCCCCAACAAGCACTTGTGTATCCAGATTCCCCCTGCACCCAGATCCCCACTGAGCCGCACGCAACCAGATTGCCCCACACAGAACCCTCTCTACCCACACCAGGATCCCCCCACACTAAGCCCCTCCATTCTTGGATCCTGCCAGGCGGACCCTGCTTGCCCACACCTAGTGCACCTGGCACAGAGGGGCAGGGCCCTGGGGTGTTTCTGGGGCAGGCCCTGTCCTTGCAGTGTGTCAGGGTTGGGTGCAGCCTCACCGCTGAATCCATGTCCTGGGGAGGGGGGGGGATGGATGGATACAGAGTGATCTCCCACCTCTGTGCAGCCAGTGGCCTGTGCTCCCCAATGCCATGCTAGAGCCTCCACATTTATCTGACAAATAAAATTTGCAGAATTTTGCAGAATTTTAAAATAAATGCTGAATTTTTTGGCACAGAATGCCCTCAAGAGTAAGTATTGTAGCTCAATGGGCAGTGATCTTGTTTACAATGCTATCTGAACTGACATTATAGCAATTAGAGAAAATACCACAAGAGTGAGCAAAGTAAAGGAATACTGACCTCAGAGGTAAAAGGAGAGGTATTGTAAGGGTCTGAAGCACACAATTTAAGCTCCATAGTGGGAATCTGTAAATCACTGGTCAGTTTTCCTGCTCTTAGGAATCTAGTGACATGATAATATATTGCAATCAACCTGGGTCTTTTCTGCAGATGATACTGGAAATTAATGCTTCCATTTCTTTCCTTTTCTTATTCCCTTCCTCCATATCTTTAACCCCCATTAAAAACACCACCACCACCACCAAAAGCAGGCAAACAAACAAAATACAATACATGTAACTTAAAAAAAATGCCAATTCTTCACCATACTCATTTGCTTGTATGTTATAGCTACATCTCTGACTGCTCAGCCTGTGTCTTTAGACTCTAAGCCGTTCAGAATTGGGACTCTCTCTTTTTTGTGTCTGTACAGTGCCTATCACAATGGGGCCCTAAGCAGCTGCATGCTATCATAATATAAATATTTACAACTGCCACTGCTACTACTCATGGAAATGATGAGCTTTGATTTTCAAGTGAACCTATCAAGTGCTTTGAGACTGAAGATGGCTTTTAGGTCCTGATTGTTTTTAAGACAACAAAGAATGCTGAGTACACTGTATGGGATTGCTCCTTCAATAGAACTGTTTCTATGGCACTCTTTCTGTAGTGCTTGTGAGATGTCCTCGTTGACTTCCTGAGTTTTTCTGGATTCCTTGATTTCAAAGATATCAAATATTTCCTTTTGTGGTATCATGTCAGTCTATCACATATATATGTATCTGTCTTGAATTGTCCCTAGAACCCACGCGTCTAAGACAGTCTTTTTCAAACATATGCAAATCTCTGCAGTCTCCCTCTGCCATCTTGGTTCCTAGTGGTTACATATGCCAAGGGAAGACAGATGGTTTTACTGCCGCCTCCCTTCCTTGGAATTTTCCAGTGAATGGAGCTGCTTTAAATTACAGCTGGGATTCTACAGAAGCACTACTAGTGGCAGCTGCTGAGAGAAAACATTTAATCAAAGCATATCTAGATGACATTGGTCATATTGGTTCCTAGTCAGGACCTCCCCTCTTTTTGGGTAGGGATGATACACTATGTTTCCTGTTGCAAAAGGGAAGTCAATCCCAGGCTAAATCTGATCCACTGTCTTATAAGGCCACATACAAGATGTAATAGTAAAATATGAACAATGGAGTTTGAAATTCAAAGTATCTTATCAGATTCAATCAATTTGGGAGAAAATAATCCAAAAGATTGTCCAGATGATAAATTTCAAGACAACTATATTATACTTTGCTTTTAGTATCAGTATTTGCAACTTTACCATTGTCTTTTGGAACATTTTGGTTAACTGATATCTGGAAACTTCAGAACAAACTTAACAGAATTTCAATTCTGATCTCCTTAGAAGTGGAATTTTAGAGACTAGTAAACAAGAATACAGTGTTTTAAGAAATATATCAGGACCATCTCTTGCAGTCTTTTAAACCTTTTTTCTTTTTTTGGGGAAATTCAAAGTGTAATGAAATTATCTCTGAATCAAGAAACAATCCTAATACTTCTATAATTTTTTTAGCATAGTACTTAACACATTGTGGAAAAGAACTCACACCCAAACCTTTTTCTAACAAAGAATGGTGTAAATCTAGCCTGATTTGTCCCCAATGATGGGAATAGAAAAAAGGTCTCCTGATGCCCAGTACACTGCATCACACAGCTTCTTCCTTAACAATACCTTTTTAAAATACCAATGGGGGAGAAAAAAACCCCATTTGCAACACATATAATCTCCATGCAAGAATAACAGTATCTATTTAGTGGGTCAGAATGGAAAGTCTTTAATACTAAGAAGCACAAATAAAAGCATCCCACACTCCTTTAAAAATCCAAAAAAAACTTTACTCCCTTTTGCTGCAAAATTTATGCATAATAGAGAGGTTTATTAACTACTTCATATAGACGAGTAATTTCCAAAAATGCTGAAAGGAGTTTGGTATCACACTGAAGCAATCCTCCCAGGTTTCAAGTGCTAGAAATATGAAAAAATATTTAATATAGTTACAATTTCCACACTGTACCTCTGTTTCTGCTGCATGGGTTGTTGTCTCATAGCCATATATTGCATGTCCTCTTGTAGCCGATTAAGAGGAGAATCTGGCTTGACACGAATCCCATAGTAATGATATTTGGAGTTCCCCCTTTACGAAAGAATAAGAATTAAGGGAAAAAAAGTTGATAAAACAGAAATAATTTGTCAGACTGTTTTTTTTCCCTTTAAAGTCTTACAGTTTACTTCTACTGGAAAATAGAGTACAGAAATTGGACCAAATTCTCCTCTCCAATTTCTCCTCCTGATTCATCAATTTTATACTTCTATCATACCATTGGGTTCATAAGATCAACTCCTCTCCCTTACATCAGTGTAAACCAGGAGCATCAGGCCCAGTAAATGCCCCTTAAATTGACTCATATGCAGAGACAATAATCCATACTATCCAGATCCAAAAGATCCATAATAAATCTGTGGAAAAAAAACCCGACAAACTAAATTTGGTAATCTAAAGTTTCAACTAAACTTCAGTGTCAGTGATCTGAAGAAACTTGTTATAATGGTCTTTGTTTTAATCTTATTCATATAGATAGATAGATAGATAGATAGATAGATAGATAGATATAGTGACAGGGTCGGACCAGATGGCTATAGGAGAGTAATAGAAGGCAGATATATTAGCCCCAGGCTAAGTAGGTCCCTTTTCCCTGGGTAAGGCAACAGGGAAGGTTTTTTTGTTTTTTTTTTGAAACAGAAAGAAAATTTATTGGTAACACTTACAAAATTACCAAAGGAAACAAAACAACTATGCAACAAAACAACACAAAAGAAGGTATAACACAGCAGCTTTCAGGAGGGAGAAGTGTTCAGGCTAGCCTGGGCCCAGAGTGGGGGGGCTTCCTCGACACTCGTGGTCTTCCACCCCCTTGAGTTACCTAGTGCCGCGCCCAGTGTCACCGATCCTCCCTCTCCTGAGAGTGCCCGGTAAGATGGGCACGGCTGCGGGGTGGGCTGTTTAGGGGTGGGGGTGGGGTAGACACCCATGTATTATAGGACCCCTCCTAGATGACAGGAATGATGGTATCCACGGCGGCAACGGCTGGGGCTGGCGTCTCTCGCTCTTCCTCTCAATCAAAGGGTCAGACGGAGGGAACCGGACGGGGTCACCGAGCAGAGAACCCCGGACAGCACCCACCGCTCCTCGAAAGCGTCAAGGGAGTCGGTGGACGCCACCCAGAGGAACTCCGCCCGGATACGTGAATGTACTGAGGATCGGAAAAAGGCCCCACAATCGCAGGACGTTTCATGGGCCAACCGATGGGCCTCCACCCGGACAAAGGTGAACGTGGAGCTGTCATCTGGGTGATGGTCACGCCAGACGTCCACTAGGGAGTGATGTTCAACTATCCCTTGGAGAATATTCGCGGCGGCCGGGCTCGGTTCGGCCCCTGAGCGGTCCCGTTCCTCGAGGGTGGTGTTAAAGTCCCCTCCCAGGACCAGGCACTCGTGCGAATCCAGGGTGCCGAGAAACACACATGTATAACCGTATGCCGAGAAAGTCGGACACCCGCTGATAAAATTGTGGCCGCCTGGAGCTCATTTGCGGGGCATAGATGTTAACAAGATTAACCACGAGCCCCTCCATACGGACTCGAAGGTGCAGCAGGTGGCCCAGCACGGCCTCATTGATCCCTAGCACCTCAGGCCATAGGTTGGGGGAGAACAGGGTCGCCACTCCAGCTTGCCAGGTCGCGAAGTGGCTAAAGTATACCCCGTCCCCCCACTCCAGCCGCCACCTGTCCTCGGCGGCCGGGTCCGTATGGGTCTCCTGCAGGAAAACTACAGAGTACCCCCCCTTCCCGAAGGTAAGAGAGCACCTGGGACCTGCGGAGAGCCATCCTACAGCCCCTGGTATTCAGGGTTGCAATAATAAGAGGCGTCATGCGGAGGGCTGGGGGGGTGGGGGTTTCGTGTTGGCGGGGGTATTCAGGGCCCCTGGTGGGTTGCACAGCAACCCGTGACCCATCCCGTGGGTGAGTAGATCGCGTCGGAAGCTGCGGGCTCACTCGTAGGCCACAGCACCGCGCCTTCCTTGCCCCCTGCCCTCCTTTATAAGGGCCCCTGTGGCCTGGAGGATGTGATCAAAGTCCCCCCATAGCTGAAGAGCCAGCTGTACCCTATTGCGGGCGCCACGGGTGTGCTCTAGGAACTTCCGTAGTGCATGCCACAGCTCATGGGGGGGTGGGGTTACAATTCCCGAGGTGTTCCCTGGTGGGACTCTTAATACAGCCTCGTGGTCCGCTAAGGCGGGTAGACAGGGTGCGGACCACTGACGGGGTGTCTGACAGGCTGGGGTTATTAAATTCATTTCACGCCTTGGGGTGGAGGGGGATGGCAGGGAAAAAATTGCCACTCCTAATGGGTCGCGGCTAGAAAGTGCAAAGACTGCTCCCTGGGGGGAATCTGTGAAAGGCGGAAAGGAAATAACCCCAGGGGCGGCATTAGCATTGCAGGAGGAGGGGACTTGGGCAGGGACAGGGGTGGGGGAAGGGGCAGGGGTAAGGCTCTGGGGTTCAGGAGGCAAGCAGCTAAAGGAAAGTGCCTCCTGAGCAGAGTCAAGGGTTAAGGGGTAAGGGAGGGGGCTCCCAATAATGCTAGGCACTGGCTCCATGGTGGTCTTAGCGGCCATGGCATCAGGTGGTAGACCACCTTCTGCAGGGTGCTCACCCGGGAAGGCAATTAGGGGGAGGGAGCATGGGGAAAGGGAGGCTGGGGTAAGGCTGCCCAGCTCGAGGCCAGCCGGCAGCAGATCATCCCCTCCCTGGGTGACCAGGGTCAAATCTAGGGCCTCGATCTCCGCATACACGGGGGGGAGGCCAGCTCCTGCCACCCCGGGGGCCTCTCCTCTAGGGCCCGTCTCAACGGTCGCCTCGGGGTCCGCGGGGGGTTCGGGTGGTATCCAGGCAGAAGGGACGTCCTCAGAAGTCTCGGAGGGGAGGGTCTCCCGTGGAGGGGGGATTCTGCCCTCCAATGCCAGTCCGTCTTCCCCTCCCGACACCAGCGGATGGATCTCACTCATGGCCGTGGCGGGAGGCTCGATAGCAGTGCCTCCTTTCCTGGTCTTCCGGGGGGCTTCCGCGTCGGATGGATGCAGCGGAGCTCGAGCCTTCCGCTTGCCTCGCTTCCCCGGACTAGGGTCCAGCCCTCCATAGCGTCATCTGGGGGTTGGTTAGCAGGGGTCGTGTCGGGGGGCGGAGGCGATGGTTCAGGGGTTCGGGGAGGTAGCGGCAGCATGAGGGGCGGGGGTTTCTCCTTGGGGTGGGCCCTCTCCTATACCCGGTAATATCCTTGCCACACCCTCCTCCATGGGCTCTGTTGAACTGGTACTAGCAAGGGTGGAACTCCCTTGCTCGCCCGGGCGTTGTAGGGAAGGTATCTCTTGGGCCCGGATGTGAGTAGCGATGGGTCGAGTAGGAGGAGGGTTGGTTTCAGGTGCCGGGCTGCCAGGGGCGTCGGCAGCAGCGGGGCCGATGTCCTGCCGGGTCTTGGGGGTTTCGGGTGCTCCTCCCCCCCGGGCCAAAGGGCAGTCTCTGCGGACATGCCCCGCTGAGCGGCAGAGGTAGCACCGGGCCTCTCCGGTGGAGTAAAAGACCCAATAGCGGGCTCCCTGGTAGGGGACTAGAAAGGACCCCTCGAGCGACTCTTCGTCACGCACCCCTGCCGGCGGTAGAAGCTGCACTTGCCGGCGGAATGAAAAAACGTGACGGAGAGTGGGGTCCTTGCAGCCCAACGGGAGAGGGCTGATGACAGAAACAAGTTTCCCCAGAGTGGAGAGGGCGGGTAACAGGGCAGCATTGGGTAAGAAGGGAGGAACAGAGGTGAGGACGAGGCGAACGCCCAGGTCTTCTAATGGTTTAAAGGGGACAAACACCCCCCCCCCCACCGTCATGCCCCTCTCCACCGCCTCCTGGGCGGCATCCTCCGAAGCTAAGAAAAAAAAGATCTTCCCATACATCTTGGAGGCCGCCACAATAGCCGTGGGTCCTACCACCTTCGCTAATGCCTGCACGTATGTCTCCACGTGGGGCGAGGCGGGCACCAGGAGGCAACGGACGCCGTGCCTCCTGGTCAAGGCGGGGAAAGGGCCCCGGCCGCTGGTGATGGTGGCGGAGGCGGGGGGGGGGCGAGATGACAAGGCGGCAGGCAGGGGGGAGCCCGTTGCCGCCCGGGCATACGTCTTGGGGGCCGGGGGAGGGACAATCACAGAGCTGGTGGAGGGAAACGCAGGGAGGGGCGCCACGGTTGATGACGAGGCCACAGTGGTGGGGGCAGCCTCTGCCATGGAGGGCTTAGTGGTTTTAGCGGGGCCCTTTCCTTTCATCCCGCCCTGGCCCTTCCGGCCAACCGGGGGGGGTTTCCTAGAATCTGGGAGGGCGGTGGGTGCAGCAGCAGCAGCGATCACCCCGGTGCCCCAGCTGGGGGGGGTGGCAAGTATCTTGACAATAGTGGTGGGGGGGGAGGGACAACTAATTTTGTTGAAGCGGCCTCGCCCCTCTCATTCCCCGCCATTGTGAGAAGAGAGAGACAGGGAGACACCGGAAGGAGGAGGGGGGAGGGGAGAAGTGGAGTAGCCGCTCCTCCCCGCTAGGCTGCAGGCGGGGAGGGGGGGGAATGCCGAGGGGGTTGGACTGGGAGGGGGGGGAAGAAACAAAATCGGGGTCCAGTAATAGGGGCAAGCTGTGGGATAAGCAATCCGGGGGGGGGGTGTGCAGACCCACACATGTTTGTCCAAAGAGTCTCGGTTGGTCGGCTGTTATGTCCGGTCCAAAAGGCAAAGTTCAAAGCGAACAGCTGGATCCAAAGGGAGATGGCAGGTTGCCAGCAGGGACGGACGGCGGGGGGGCCGTAACAGTTGTAGTAAGGGTGGGGGAGTTGGGGGCACCGATGGATCGGGGGTGGCGGTCTCCGCGCCACACCCCCTGTGCTGCCACAAACGCAAGTAACCACAGTCAAATTCCCCCCCACGAGAGTATAATTCAGAAAATTACTCAGTCTTACGGCCCCCTTCACGATGATTTATAGCTCTCCTGGATTATTTCTCCTGTCTTCTGAAATCTTCTTCTCCAGCTGTGTTGGCTGTGTTCCAAG